TTGCACCTAAACCCTAAACCGCCTTGACCAGTCCCTGAGCCCGTATAAACGCCCCAAAACCCTTAGACCCCAGCTACTTACCGCTGGTTAGTAGGGAATGGAAGAATGGTAGTAATAGTAGTTATATTTGTACCCCATTCCGCCATTCCCTACTAACCGTAAGGCTATCGCCAATGCCCTTTGAGGTGGACTTGAGCCACATTCCAGCCAAGCGAGCTGGAACCAAGGCAGTCCCTTCAGCTCGGGAATTATGCAGAGTTTCAATTTTAGGGTTTAGGGTTTTGAAATGAAGATTTGTTGTCTCAATCCCTTCACTTCACATCTTCAGCTGCACATCTTCAGCTGCACAGGCGTTTCTAGCATTGATGCTTTCGGAAGGCAAATCCAGGTGTGCTGATATGCTCGAAGCCTCGTTCTCTAACTACCTAGCTTCGTTGTACATGTGAAGCAACAGTGTGTTAGTCACGTCAGGCTAGTTGGTTCTCAGGCCTTGTCCCAAATCTGCTTGGATAGCAACAGCGGTGCTTTTGGAAGTTTGACTATCAGTTAAGACACGAAGAGAAACCTAGGCATCATGCCGCCATCGAAGCCAAGACGTGTGCTTCAATGTGTACCATATCAAATGTTTTGTTTCAACACATTAGCTCGCTGTCGGTTTTGCACCGCACGTCGGGTACAAGTCAATGCCTAAGTCTGACTAGCGACCATAAATGTAAAACTATCACCATCATTGCTTGAACATAACATAGGTTTAGAACATACACTACTTACTATGCGAGGCTCAGGTGGAGAATTCGCATTTCTGGTGGCCTGTGCGGGTATAAATGGTTTACTTGAAGTACTGCTGACGTGCCACCATAAGCGCCCATGCTGCTAATGCAACATTTCCAGTTTGCCATGCGTTAATGCATATGTAGTGCCACTTCACAAAACCAAAAGACGTTGCTTTTGGGTAACATAACATGTGTTTCTTACATTTGGAATATGGGTAGGATGTGCTTTTCTATCAGAAGCCGGTGTAGCTTGGATAAACTTTGCCCTGTCAGTGTTGTTCAGCCTGCGGTAGTAGCTTTGTATCGAGGTTGGAATGGTTTTCCGCTCATAATATCAAAACTGGCACTAGTAATCAGAGCAATCAATACATCAATACACAAAGATGCGCGTCGCACATATTTCCGCGTCTATGGACGCTTAAATCTAGATGTTGGCTGTGTCAGATGTGTTGTCAACATGTGGCAATACTGCAACCGCCTCGAGACTTCATGACAATTGTCAACACTGTTGCGCTAAGTTAAGAACCAAGATATGATAAAGTGTGTAATACTTGTGTCAGTATTTGTGTATGTATCACATCACGGGGAAGGAACGTGGAACACAAAATGTATTTTTTTGCCCACCCACAAGTATATGAAGCTTATGAAGCGAACCAGAAAGTGATCTTTGGAGTAGATGCCATTTAGATAACCCATCGGCGAAGATGACACGAAAATCAAGTCGAACTTCTTGCTTACATTGAAAATCTGGCAAACAGTTAACGTGTTGTCTGTTGATTTGCTACATCGATTGCAAACAGAATGAATCGAATTTTAAGGGGAGCTGCTAGTAAGGAAGCTTGCTCGAATTCCCTCGGAGGCACAAAGCTCCATGCAGCGTTGGCACGAATCGAAAACCTTGATCTCGCATTGCAGAGTGTGGGCTTCAGGTGTAGAAGATGAGGAGCGCTTTAAAGCAGAGCAGATGTTTCCCAACAGATTGGTTTAGAGAGAAAGTGAGTCCGGAGATATGCATCCAACTTGAACATCAACTATGGGCCGCCTCGCTTCGTCTTCGATCGCAGCGCGTCGCGTGCAGGGGCAGAGCCCTCAACCCTAAACCGACGAGAGGGCCGGACCCAGGAGCAGAGGATCGGAACGACAAAAAGCCCAACAACACCAAAGGAACCAACCAGAAGAACCAAAAACTGAACAAAAGCATATTAGCAAGCAACACAGAAAGAACCGAAAGCATAAGACTTTCTACGCTACGCCGGAGTCTGTCTGGGTTTGGACTAGTCTGGAAATACTTGCTTTGTTTTCTTTGTATGTGTTTGTTTTGTGGGGTTTGGACCTTAGGAACACTTGTTTGGGAACAAGAGCCGTGCTTTCAAACACAGACATCAACAGGAGGAGCCTAGTGCATACACGCGCGGCATGCAGAAATTCGGAAAGGACTGTTGGCAGAAAGGAACAAGCGTCCGACCAAACCCAAAGCTACGTAACCACTGGTTTCCATCCGCCACAAAAATCCTTTCTGTTCCGATTACACTTTTCAAACAGTCTTCATAGGTCTGGGCTCTCGGACTTAGGTTTCGGGTTTGGGTCTCCTAAGGGCAGGCAAGATCCCAACGACGCAGCAGGAAAGACTGTAAGCGCCTAGTCTGACTCCGATGCTGACCTTGGTGACCGTGCCATCTTGGTGAAGTCTAAACCTGGTCCGGGTGTGTCTCTGTGTGTGTGTGTGTGCTGTCTATAGGCCCCTTTCTGTGGAATCTCCAGCCACATCTTGGTCGGGTCTTGCGGGGCTGAAGCGCTTAAACCCTAAACCCTAAACCCTCAACTCTAAAGAAGAAGCCCAGGAGATCGCTGCTGCTTGCATCTTCCTCTGTCTCAACAACTACATCACGGGCCAGATTCTGCCGGTGGACGGTGGCGAGTGGTGTCCTGGTCCAAATGTTCGCACCTACTCGCATCAGATTTTTCGTAGTGTAGACGTAGACTTGACGGAGCGTGCTGTACTAGTACCCTGCTTACTTCTCATGACTCTTAACAAGTCCTCGATACTCAGAGGTGCCAGGGTTTCGGGTCCAGGGTTGGGGGACTGAGAACGCTTGAGGCTTTGGGAGCTTGATCTCGAGTGCTGTATCAAGGGTGGGTTTGGGGCCTTTATCGGTTTTGAGGTTCAGGGGGTTTAGGCTTTCGGTCTAGCGTTTAGGGAGTTCGGGGTTTGGGTTTATGAGCTTGGGGTTTGGGGTTCGTGGGTTTTTCGGATGGAATCTTCGCAACACCCTCCATAGGAACCTTGTAGAGCCCCGCCGCCAGCCCCTTACCCCACTTGGAGGTTCAGGGGTAGTTATAAGTAGGGTTATAAGTCCCCGAATTAGGGTTATAAGTATAGTTACCGGAGTTATAGCCCTACTTATAACTACCCATGAACCTGCAAATAACCCTAAAGCCCTAAACCCCAAAACCCTAGAAGGTTTAGGGGTGAGGGTTTAGGGTTTAGGGTTCTGTAGTCTTGAGGTTCGGCAAGAAGCGCATCATACCTCGGGAGATGGTCTCCAAGATCTCTCGGGGAGTGGACGCTCGATTGGAGTATTGTAAGAATCATGGTTACGATTTTGAATGGGAGGTATAGTTATACATATATCTATACGTCTATATATACATAATATAAATAATCAAATATAAATAAATAAATATACATATATATATATATATATACATATATATATATATATATATATAATTACAAATTGTCCGCAGGTGGCTTGGGCTTAGGGTGTAGGGTTTAGGGTTTCGGGTTTAGGGTCCTAGGAGATTGCACGTGGCTTGGGCCGGCTCCGTGTGCCAAGCCCGAATTTTAGGGCCCTAGGACGGTAGGCCGGGCAGGTCTCAGGGCTGCGTTACCCGAAACTGAGATGCATTGTTTGAATACGTTGAGTGTTGCTCCGGTAAGCTGAGGACATGACAAAACAAACCCCAAAGTAGAGGAAGTTATTGGCATCCACCCTTGTCTGCGTACGGTAAGGAGAAGCAGTCGAGGGCGATGGGTCCTGGGACGGCAAAGCTTTGAGGTCCCCGCTCACTGCCATGTGCGTGTTTCAACAATATCCAGGGTGCCCTAGTCAGGGGTCTTTGTTCTGTTTCAACCCTAAACCCTAAACCAGAAAAGCCTAAACCCCTAAACCCTAAACCCCAAAAAAATCTAAACCCTAAACCCTCAAACCTCTAGCCTAAACCCTAAACCGTGAAGTTTACCGTTTAGGGTTTATCTTGGGTTCGTTTCTGAATCGCTGAATTAACCCGTGAAGTCTATTGTTTAGGGTTTATCTTGAGTCCCTTCTGAAACTCCTACATGGGAGTTTCCGAAGATACGGGACCCCAATATAGTACCCTACATAAATAGTACGATCCTCATTATACGGTCCCCAGAATAAGGCACCCCTAATGTTCGGAACCCCCTACATGTCAAGGGCAATCCCCGGCCCTGGACTGAAGATCCGATCCGGGCCGCCAGCTCTAAGTCCCGATGAGTTCGGAAGAATCAGACCTTCAGTGTTATGTTATACCATCTTATGTCTTATACTATGTTGTGCTACATTGTACTATATCATGTTGTACTATCTTATCTCATACAGTATATCATATATTATATTGTACGATATTAAGCTACAATATACATATATATATATATATACACATATATGTTAGACTATATGATATTCTATGACATTACATTGTATTATACTAGGTTTTACGAAAATGATATTTTGTGCTAGTTATGAGGGTTTAGGGCTTAGGGAGCGCCCCACTGCAGCTCTCTGCAAGCCGGTGTGCATTTTCGCCAGCTCACATCCTGAGCCCACCAGCCAAGACCGCAAACAGCCTGTGATAATCGTTAGATCATCAGAATGCTAAGCTCAGCTGCAGCAGCTAGCAGCTGCAGCTGCAGATGATAATGATGGTTGATGGTGATGACGACGACGAGGATGACGTCGATGATGCTTCTCATGGTGATGATGATGGTGATGATGATGGCGATGTTGATGGTGATGGTGATGGTGATGGTTGCGAGGATGCTTGCGATGGTCAGTGATGGCATGACTGTCGAAAAAATTCTGGTTACCGTTTCCCCTATGGTTCCGATGCTTGTCTACAATTGCCGGCTCCGTATAGCTGCTTTGGCTCAAGCTCTCGTCCCTGGCAAAGTGGGCCCCGGTGGACTGTGGCCGCAGTGAAGAAATGCAGGGAGTGCGCCCCTTGCTGGGCTTTTGAAGGGCTCAGGGTTTTTTTGGGTCAGGGCCTAGGGAGGGTTCGGGCTTTGGCTTCACGGTGTCGGGCTCCTGTTCAAGGCAGGGAACGAGGTTCATTTCTACTCGGTTGAAGGCATCCGCACAGCTCGGAAAGGAAGCCCTGAACTCTAAAGCCCAAACGAAGCCCAGGCTACTTTCGAACGTTCATTGACGTGGAGGACGAGGAGCCCACTATTCCGGGTCCTCCGCGTGCTCAAAGCTGTCCGCCTTTCGGGACGATCACTGAGAAGCTGGATGAGGATGTCGCCACCCAGCTCAATCGTGCAAGCGTTTTGGGGTTAGGGTTTAGGGTTTAGGGTTTAGGGTTTAGGGTGAGGGGCGGAGGTGGACGATTCGAAACCTGGAGCAATTTAGCTAAATAAAAGCTTAAACCTTTGATCTAGAGGCCCTAGCACTGACGGCCTGCTGAAGCCTTCAGGCCCACTTTGCTCGAGCCCAGAAGCCTGAAGAACGAAGAGTTAAGGCTCCTTGTGAATTGTTTTTTGCGTTTATAAAAACAATCCACCTAAACCGCAAAGTCTGAAACCCGAAACCTCAAGGTCCATGCAGCGCTTGTTTTAGGGTTTTAGGGATGCCCGCTCGAAGCCAAGGCAATCTACGTCTCATCACTCTCGGACCGGGCCAGCGAGTTGACACAGGCGAAAAAGGGGCCAAGGGCTTTATGTGTGTGGGTTGTCTTTCAGGATTTCGATGTGTTGTTTTGACCCAAGCAGCGTGGTACGCTGTCGTGCAGGGTCAGGTAAGGAGGCTTGGTGCATGGAAGTTCCGCAGCTCACACTATGTCGCGCTGCACATTGCCGGTTCAAATCTCATCGAACTCATTCTCAGAGTCGCCTGATTTGCATGATATTGCGAGGGAAACAGGCGATATGTCGAAAGTCGTCGCAGGGCCTGAGGGAAAGATTTTGGGTGCCCTCAAAACTCGAAACGCTGAAATGTCTTCAGAGCACAGCAGACCAGTGGGGCCAGACGCTTTTTGCGCAATGTTTTAATCCCGCAGTACACAGGGGGTGGTGCCTTCCCTCTCGTCGTTGATGGCGTCTTTTATGAGTAGCACGGACCACAAGGCACAGAGAGGCCACCACCTTGAAGCCGAGTCTCAAGCCGTAGATGCATTAATTAGCTTTCTCAGAATCTTTTTACTGTTAAACCCTTGGCCCCCAAACTTGAAGTCAAACTCTACTGTAAGGGGTAAAACTAGAACATACTGCCCAAACCCTATTCTGACTGCTAAGGCACCCAAGCACTGAGCGCTACAGCTTATTCCGCAACCTGTGTAGTTCCATCGATGATGGGGTGCCAGGATGATTCAACTATTCCAGTGTAACTGCCATGTCTTTATAGACTTCAACCCCTCGAAACCTCCATACGCTTGTACACGCCCCAAACCGCGTAACACTTGCCCAAACTCCTGAACTCCCAACCACTTGGATAGGAACCGAAAAACCCGCAACTCCAGGGCGCCCAAGCTACAAACCCCCCATAGTGTCCTATGGACAGACTATGACAGACTCTGAACCTTCCACCCAAATTAAACCCCGAAACCCCAAAAGCTCCACCCTAAGCCCCGAACCCAGAACCGTAAACCCTCCCATACGCCCATTTTTTTCGGGAGGCGCCAGCTCAGGTGGCTCCCCTGCCCGTGCTAAGCCAGGGCAGCCGGGGCCATCCGGATCTCTGTAACCGCCCGTGTAGCCCGGACGTTCATAGAGTCTCCTTAGGAAGAATTTTTGTATGCTTGTTCATAAAAAAAACCCACGAGAATATTAAAGATAGTATTTTTATTGTTGTTCTAAGGTGGGTATAGGTTCATGGAGGGGCCTTCAGAGGGTTGAGGGTTTAGGGGCCTTAAGAATTGGAAGTTAAGCTTGTGCTTTTTGCAGGGGTTTGTAAGACCTACTATAAGGGGCTATTATATAGTGTAATATACGTATAGGGGTATCTAATAGGCTACTAGATCTTCGCATCGACAGTCGTTTTGACGGGCTCTAATGCTTCGGACGCCTCGCTCCTCCTTCACCACCCCCACCCCCGTAAAAACTCGACAACACTCAGGCGTTCTACGACAACGCCATCAGCAGTCCTACTGTAAGACCTCATGTTATCATTATTGTTGGTACTACGACGACGACTACTACTGCTACTGCTACTGCTACTGCTACTGCTACTGCTACTGCTACTGCTACTGCTACTGCTACTGCTACTGCTACTGCTACTGCTACTGCTACTGCTACTGCTACTGCTGCTACTACTACTACTACTACTACTACTACTACTACTACTACTACTACTACTACTACTACTACTAATACGACGACGACTACGGCTACGACTGCGACTGCGACTGCGACTGCGACTACCACTACGACTACGACGACGGCAATGACTTCGACTGCGACTGCGACGGCGACGACTGCAACTACAGCTGCTGCCATAAGTTCTATGACCGTGGCAACCATCACAAGCCAGAACACCACTGATATAGACCAACAGTAAGAATCACAGCAGCAGGACTGGTAAGCAAAACCGTGACTTGTATGGGATCACTCGTATGAGATGATTTACGGGCACTGGGGTGGTGTTGGTGGTGGTGATGCAACACCAAACCTAAACCCTAAACCCTGCACGGTCATGCTGGATTAGTGTCAAGGCATCTTCTTCGCCTCCGGCAGTTGTCATCTTGGTAGTACCTGCGGGCATTGCCACCTGGCCCACCCTCAGCGCGCCGCCTGGCAGGATGCTAGTGAAATTGAACACTTCCAGGATCTTTGGGAATCGGATCTTCGAGTTAGGCCTTGCGAAGTCTGGCGTTTGCGGCTCTTTCGAGTCCGAGCTACGTCTGGAGTGAAGGCCAGGATTCAGAGGTTATTTTGCCAGCATGTGAACTCCCAGATTTCATCACGCTTTCGTCACGGCACACACTAAGCCTTGCAGTCCGGCAACAACTGGGCCCCTCAGCCACGGAAAAAAGCATTCGTGTTGATATCATATTTATGTATCATGATAACTATTTACGTCTGAGGATCTCCAAGTTAGCTTTGGCGATCCAGAGTAACAGCGGCTCCTACAGAAACAGCATCAGCAGTACCATCAACCAAACAAAAGCAACTGCGGAAGAGCAGCGCTTTTGGTTTAGGGTAGGACACGTAACAGCAACAGTGAAGCACACAAGGATCGATAGCGTTACTGTAGGGAGTGCTGTTCTGATGCAAGCAGCATTGAGTTGTTGACAGTTTGGGACCGTGAAGCAAAACTGGCAATGCTCGAGGTTCGCTTTGTGCACATGAAGCAGTAGTGGTAGTGATAGTGTCAGGGTGGTGATGACTGCCATGGTCATAGCAGCAGCAGCAGTAATCGTAGCAGCAGTAGTAGTAGCAGCGTCGGAGGCACTCGAAGTGGCCGCAGCGGGAGCAGCTGCAAATATTTGATTAATGCAAGACAACGGCCAAGACGCTGTAAGAAGCAGGACGGAGCCTCCGAAACCCTAAGCTTCTCAGACCATAAACCAACATACCCTGCCCTAAAGGCAGCACGGCTTGACAAGCGCCAGCGTGTGGCAGTGCAGGCGCTAAGTGAGCGTCGCGGGGCTAAAATGCAGCTTGTGGCCCGGGGGAGAGGGTTGCATTTGTATTTCTAGTATACAGACAACCCGAATATATCAATCTATGTATGTTTCTGTATGTATATAAGCATAGAGCCACGTATAAATACATACACACTGTAGTTTGCTCTTTCTCTATGTATATATATATATATGTATACATACAGACCCATACATGTATATGCGAGTGCACCATTGGAGCTTGGGGCATGAAGTTGAGGCCCTGTGTGTGTCAGCGTGTGTTTCCGTTCTGTTCCTGCCTTCTGGTCTCCAAAGTTGTGGCTTTATGTTCTGGCTTTGGAGGTTTTGGGGTGCATTGATGGGCTTGTCGTATATTTTGGTATCATCATAATGAGACCATTGGTACTCTGGGTGGCGAACGCGGTTCTTGTGGTCTTTTTTGGGAAACCCTGTGAGGCCAGAATCCCCAAGCTCAGGCAATATAGGACAACATGATTGAACATAATGCAGTTGGTATGATAGACCATGACATAGCATACTATGATAGAACAGAATGCAGTATTTTATGATAGAGCAGACTAGATACTATAGAAGAACATGATCGAATCTACTGTTTTGATAGAAGCTCAGGGACGCTCTTGTCTCTTCTTCTCCCACATTTTCGCACGCATGCTGGTCCAGCCCAGGCCTTGTTTTGCCAAGACAGCTCTGGGGCTTTCGGTTTCAGCATTTTAAGGGTTTGCAGGGTTTAGCGCACAGAGTTCGACATGTTGGGGTTTTAGTTTTGGGTCTAGGGTCAGGGTTCGGCATTTTGGGGTTTGAGGCTGTTCGGGGGATGGACAGTTTCAGGGTTGAAGACGAATGTTTCAGGGATTGGGTGTTTGGGCGTGTCTTACCGGAGATAGAGTTGACGTCAAGGGCTTGATCCCTGTCGGGTTGTCTAAAGTTAGGGTCCAAGTCCTCAGTATTTTGTGGTCGGACTGCTCATGATGTCTCGGGCAAGGAGCCATGAAGCATACAGGTTTCCTCGATTCGGCAAGCCTCCCTGAACCTGAATTTAGAAGCAAGGATGCCGTTTCCTGTACATGGGGGGCCGGGGATTTGGAGTCTAGGGTATTGACAGCAGCAGCAATAACACTACAGCAGAACAGCAATCTCAGCACCCAGGCCAAAAAGAAAAACCGATGCCAGAACCACGGCAGCGCTCAGGCAGACGGTATACCGGTTCTGATAACTGCTCTGGCCTTTGCTAATCCGAAGCTGTGCTCAAATCTAATCCTACCGTTGCCCTAAACCCTGAGCCCTAAGCGGTGAAGCCTCTACCCTTTCTGTCCACTGTCCACTTGCACAGAGAAGTCGGTGTTTGCACCATGCAGGGCTTGATCCTGATGCTCGAGGAAGCATCAGCGTCAGCAGAGATGGATCAGGACCTTGTAGCATTTTGTTGGGTTTTTCATGGGTAGTCATAAGTAGGGTCATAGCTAGGGTAACTATACTTATAATTTATTTTTTGGGGACTTATAACCCTACTTATAACCACCCATCATGAACCTCCAAGTACAGGTTTGCCGGGAGCACTGAAGTCGAGCTATGCACGAAACCTAAGCCTGGAACCTTTGAGCCAGGAGGAGGACACGGACGTTTCCCAGTTGAGCAGAAAGCTGGAGAGCGTCCTCTCACGAATGAGCCTTGCAAGCCTTGTTGCCGGAAATATTGTGGCAAGTTTTTTCGTTGAGTGGTTCTGAGGTAGACCCTAAACTCTAAACCAGAAAGCGTTCGGCTTTGTGTTTGGACTGCAAGCTGGACACTTTCTCTCATCTTAGTTGTGGTCCACGCCCCAGCTAGAATGCGACTTACCCTAAAGCATCAGCCCCTATGCAATCTTTGGCCACACCAACCTCCCGTGTTTCTATTCGCGGTGGAAATTCCTGGACCCTAAACCCTGTTTGCGGTTGGGCTTCTTCAGGATCAGGGCATAAGAGTTCAGGGACCTCGGGTCTTGGTGTTTCGGGCTCAGGGTCCAGGGTGTAGGATGTAGCACACAGTTTGACTCAGGGTTTGGAGTTCCTAAACCCTAAACCCTAAACCCTAAACCCTAAACCCTAAACCCTAAACCCTAACCCGGAGCCCGGAGCCTCCCCACCACAACCACAGCTACTCTGAAGTCGACTCTCAGGTTGGGCTTATCGCATCCAGGAGCTTTGAAAATGGCCTGTCAATGCGGGTACAGGCAGAGCTCGATCGCCTTCGCTCTGCGGCAGCGTGAGCCAGGTTTTAACCAACGGCTCGACAGACCTCAGCCTAAGCCGGCTTAATCAAACCGGAACCTTCGCATTCTTGGGGTACGAAGAGCATTTTTGACACTTGGGGGGGACCTGAACTTTGTCATTGTCACAGTTGGGTAACATTTTACATCTTTATGGCTACTGAACCCAATCAGGAATAAAAAGTACATTCGTGATCCTATCCCAAGAATGAACCAGTGAAGCTGTTTTGAGGTATTGTGCAAAGTGCGAGGCAGCATGAGCAGTCTGGCGCTTGGGTCCCCGTGCTTTCTTCGAAGCAGCTGGCCGTTTTGCATGTGCCCAGAGACTTTTGAACCCATCAAACAGGCTAGAAGCCCGAAATTATAGATGCTTACGCAATATGATTCCCGGTTTTGAGGTTTTCTTCCCGAACCAGGAGGTTTTAGAGTCTCTATCAGTTCGGCAGTGGTAGTGTGGACATGTAGTCGTGCTACCATTCCCGGCTGCTTTTTCTGCACCTCACCTGGAGTTTGCACGGATTGTTGCAGCCCATGCTCGGTGCGACCTTTAAACACTAAACAGCCCGTAAGCCCTAAACAGCCCTTGAACCCCAAACCCACAAAACCCTAAACAGCCCTTAAACCCGAGCCCTCAACCTAGGGTGCCCCAGTTGTACACCCAAGCCCGAAGATCCCGAGTCGTGAAGCCCGATCGGCCTGATCGGTGCAGCAGGCCATCAGGGTGTCGAATTCGATGAGAAGCAGCATGCACGAAGATGTTTTGCTTTGAAAAGTTGATGCCTCAGACTGATTGCATCCCCCAATGAATCGAGCACTTAAATGCCGAGACTTCCCACCTAGAGGAGCCTGGGACACGTATCCTTTGACGTTTTTTCTAGCTGTTCTTGTGTCTCTCGTTATTTCTGTCACTGTCGCTTCCTTTTTTCGTTTTCGCTTTCGCTTTCTGTTTGTCTTTCTCTCGTTTTTCTTAGAAACATAGATAATCAAACAATGAAACAACGTGTACGTATGTATGCATGTATGCATGTATGTATGTATGTGTGTATATATATATGTATATATACGCAATATGTATATATATATATATATATATACATATATATATATATATGTACATGTCTACATACACACATGCATGTATATACATACATACATACATGCATGCATACATATACACACACATATACACATACACATACACATACACATATACATACACATATACACAACCGCATACACATACGCATATGCATACGCATACACATACACATACACCTACAAATACACATGCACATACATATACATACACACATATTCACATGTATATATATATATATATAATTATATGTATATTATACATATCTCTGTATATACACACATGTACACACACACATATGTATATGTATATATATATATATATATATACACACCTGTACACACGCATGCATGAATGAATGAGTGAATATATGTATCTATGTATATATGCATGTATGGATATGTATATATCTAGTTCATACACATATACATATACACGCACATATACATAGACATATACATATATACATTTATATATACACACATATATGTACGTACATATACACATACATGCACATACACATTGTCATATACATATACATACATATAAACATATACACATGTATGCACATACACATAGACACATATGCACATAACATATGCATACACACATGCACACACACACACATTAAAGTAAATATATATATATATATACACACACACTGCATATATGCTTATGTATATAGACACACACACACACGCACGCACGCACACACACACACACAGACACACACACACACAGACATGCGACATATACAAGTACACATGCGCCTAAACATGCACCTACACATGCATCTGCATCTACATGCACAAAAGCACAGAGAAAGACAGATACATATACAAACGTGCGGACAGACACGTAGATACATACATGCACACTTGCATACATGCATACATGTGTACATACACGCATACATACGTACATAATGCATACATACATGTATGCATACGTATGTGTATTCGCCTATGTATGCATGCTTGCATGCATGCATGCATTCATGTGTGTGTGTGTGCGCGTGAATTTATGTATGTATGCATGTATATGTGTGTACGTATGTATGTATGTATGTATATATGTATGTATGTATGTTTGTATGTGTATGTGTATGCATGTATGTCCGCGTATGTATGTATGTAGGTATGTAAGTATGCAAGTACGTAAGTATGTAAGTTTGTACGTATGTATGTATGTATGTATGTATGTATGTATGTGTTTGTATGTATACATGCATATGTATATATGTATACTCACGTTTCTCACGTTTCGGGCGATGGGTCGTGTCGACGCTGCCCTTTGGGCCTGCAACTCACAAAACTAATTAAGGCGGTGAAAGATCTGACGCGGCTCAACCGCAGGACCATTCCACAGGACGACAAAATCAGTAGTATCAGAATGTCGTATCATGGGAAGTCCGAGGAGTGCGATCAGATCGGGGCTGTCGTCTCTCTGGGTAACAAGGCAGGCAAGAAACCCGAAGTCCAAAGAGTCACAGCGAAACGTCGAAGGGTCCCGCAGAGGACAAGTCCATCAAACCCATGGCGAGGTCCTGTCTCTCCGGGGGTGTCCATACCCCCGTCGGTATTCGGCAGGGTCAAAGTCGAAAGACAGTAGCAGGAAGCTCTGTCGAGAACCCGCTTGCTGTTCTCCCCAGCGAAGAAGCGCTTCGATGTCGGTGGTATTGCGGGCAATACAACCCTGACTGACAGCGACTAGCCCAAAACTGATCACAACAAAACCTGTCTGGTAGGGTTGGCGTCACCACATGCCGGCGCCCGTGCACTGAAGGGCCTCACAGGCTTGTGTCATGGCTTGCAAGGAGGACCGCGAGTCGTCAAGTCCACGATAGACACGTTGGGTCCAAAGTCCAAGACCGACAATCGCTGCACTCACGGTTAAACAAAGGAGCATGGCAGACATGATATGCCCGAGCGGAGTGATTCGCTCTGCAGATGCTGAGTCCGGAGTTGCACTTGGCGGGTGCCCCTGCGCCACCGATGCACCTCTTAGGCGCCAAGTATTACACCCCGAACTTGCTGAAAGAAGCCCATGTGAGGAAAGGACCCCTCGAACACCAAAACTGAGCCCCAGAGAGAAAGGGCGGGTATCAGCTGCCTTGAAAAATGGCGCTGGAAAGTGTGGGGAGGCCGTCTGCCCCTGGGCCTCGGAACTGAGGGGGAAGGAAATTCTCTCCCATCGAGTTGACAACCCATCACCTCTGGACTGACAGGGATCAAGAGAAAAGTGCGTCGTGGAGGCCCCGCTGACTGCTACAGCTAACCCTTCTGTACACTTCAGCAGTGAGACCTGGCTGTCGCACAGAACATAGCCTGTCACCTCATCCCCCCGCTCCGGCCCACGATCACGGCAACATGCCAACATCCGGCAGTTGCCATGACCGTCACCTTCACGTGAGGCGTCGGTTTCTGCCCTGTTCTGTGGCAGCATGCGCTCAGGAATCAGCCCATGCCGTCCAGGCCGGAGCTGGGAGGTTTCGGCGTCTTCACATCCTCGTCGGAATCCGAAACACGTAGATTGGCCGCCGCTGCCTCTGCTGCAGCCGTCACATGTGCAGGATCGGTCTGCTCGGTGGTACGTCCATTCCCTCCGAAGGGGAGCAAAGCAGTGCGTTTGGCTTCCAGCTTGCCAGCCAGTCCCGCCGTGGGGGCACTCGTATGCACCGGTTGAAGTGCAGCTCCTTTGACTGGTTGTCTTGTATTCCTGGAGCGGGGAGTCAGACTGGGGCTGGGTGCCACCTTCAATGATGCGTCCACCTTCAGAGTAGAGGGCGAGCTCAGATAAGGCTCTGTCGGACCTGCGGGCGCCAACAAAGGCGGTGCATCCCGGGCCACCTCCCGTACACCGGTCTCGCGGGCTGCACCAGTCCCAGCCCCCAAGCCAAGAGTGGTCCCGATCTCCGGTGGTAGCTGAGCCAGGGTCTCTTTGAGGATATGCGAAGCAGCTTCTGGGGCCAGTACACCCCCCTGTCCGGTCCCCGGGCCGCTCGGCTGTGATGGGCGCAATTGCTGAGCCGCCCTGAGGGCATCCGCAAGAAAGCCCGGCTCCATCGAAGTATCCCCACTTTCCAGCAAGGCCTCCCAGGAGCCTGTATCTTGTGTTGCTGTCGATGGCTTGGCCGCAATCCCATGAACAACCAGGTTTTGCACCATCATCGAGGCCTCCTTTCCCGCACTGGTTGCTTCCTCCATGTCCGTTTCGATCTTGCGGAGCGCTGCATGGAATCTCTGCTCCTCCTTGAGGAATGCCTCTTTGGACTGTTGCTGGAACAACTTCCATTGTTGCTCCTTCTTGCTGCGCTCCTCTCGCAGCCTCCGAACTTTACCATCTGCCTTTCTCGCACCAGTTAAGGCCTTCTGCACCTCCCTCAAAAGAGGGTTCGTCTCGTACTGTTCGGGTTCTCCCGGGGCTTGGCGCCAGCTTGGCTGCCCCTTCGTAGTAGGCAGCACCACATTGTCGTAGCGCGTTGGCTCGGCTCGATGCTTCGGGGAGGCACGCCAAGCTCCAGGCCACAAGTGGTACGAGGAGTGCCCTTGCTCTTTGTGCCAAGGAGCCTGGTCTTCGCTCCGATCTCCGCGCTGCCATTTCTTTCCCATGGGAGGTCGTAGTTCGCGGAACTTCGGCTGAGAATGGTGCTCGGCCAGTAGGCGAAGATCTCGCCTCCAGGGTGAAGAGCCCTTGATCCGGCTCTGCCAAACGCGTTTCCTTGCCTTCTGGCGCTTTCTGCGTGCCAGTCGGTGCCAGTTCGGTGATGGCACCGGCGTTGTGCCACTGCACAAGGCACTGGGGTAATGGCAATGCCTACCTGCTCCTGTAGGCTCGATCCAAACCCTATATATGTATACATATATATGCATATCACATATCATATAACATATATGTATATACA